CAGTGAGGTCAATTTCAGGGATGTTTAGAGAAATCTAAAATCCTACTCTCCTAAGAAACTCATGTCTTTAGCTAGTGTATTGATTGATGCCTATCATAGTCTTGTGGAGGATAAGGATTCCTTGACCTTAAAGCTAGGAGAAGCTGAACAAACTAGAGATGATCTGGTAGTGTGCGTAGTTGATCTGAAGGAAACCATTTGTGAGCTTGAGAAAGAAAAAATTGTTTTAACCAAAAAAATTGCTCACATAGAACATGAAAGAGATGACATAGTGGTTGCAGTTGTTGACCATAAGGAAGCTATTTAAAACTTCAGAAAAGAAAGAGAAGCCTTAATGAAGAGAGTGATTGAGATTGAGGAAGAAAGAGATGTTCTCTTGGTTGTGGTTGCAGACCTAAGGGAAACAATAGAGGGACTAGGGACTGAGTCAAAACCTGGAAACGAGTTGAAGGTTATGAGAACTAAACTCTATCTCTTGGTAGTGATTGAGGAACACATTAGGCATGAAAATGAGTTGAAGGTTGTGAGAACAAGTCTGTGTGTTGAATCTGAGAAAAACAAGCATCTCCAGACTGAACTGGAAAGAACAAAAAATGATCCTGAAAAGTCCCTAAAGTGGACCTGGTCCTCAGAAGCTATCACTGCCTTGTACGTTAATAATGGTGGAAACAGGCAGGGAATAGGGTTCCAAAGGGAGAAACTCCCTTACAACCCCCATAGCAACTATGTTACTATACTAGATAACTGGCTGTATACCCACTGTAGGAACAATGGGCATTTCAAGGAAAATTGCCAAGCGGGGTCCTGTCCATTCAGAAAACAAAGTGTTTGCTGAAATTGTAACTACTAAAATGGGAACAGGTTCCACCCACAAAAAACGCATATTACCTGCATGGACTAAGAGAGCTCTTATTCGTCCTCTTGCCTACTACAAGGGACCCAAACTTGCTTGGGTTCCTGAAACTAACTCTTGATCTCCTAGTGCAGGAAACAATTAAAGGAAGCAGTCAAAAATGGTTCATGGGTAGTGGATGTTCAAAGCATATGAATAGGAACACCATGGACTTTCATTCACTAAAAGCCCTTCAAGAAGGGAGTGTATCCTTTGTCAATGGGAAAGGGGTACATTCTTGGAGTTGGAAAAGTCAAAAAAACACTCACTAACTCTATTAAGAATGTGTACTATGTCAATGGTCTTAAAAACAGTCTCTTGAGTGTCTCTCAAATCTGTGATAAAGGAAACAAGGTGGAGTTCTTGTCCAAGATATGTACAGTTACTAATCTGGTAACTGGTGAAGTGGTACTTGTGGCCAAGAGATACAAGAACATCTATGTTCCTGATTTCAAGTCCATACAAGTGGTGATTTGAGTTGTCTGAAAGTTGTTGATGATGATGCTAAACTCTAGCACAGAAGATTGGGGCACATAAGCTTCTCTCTTCTAAACAAACTAATTTAGAAGGACGTGGTCCATGGTCTGCCCATGTCAAAGTTCAAAGTACAGAAAGTATGTGATGCATGTGCTAGAGGAAAGCATGTGAAGTCCTCTTTTAAGTCTAAAAAGGATGTAAGCACCTCAAAGCCACTCAATCTTCTGCATATGGATTTATGTAGCCATATGAGAATGCAAAGTAGGGGAGAAAAAAGATACATTTTTGTGATAGTGGATGACTACTCCAGATTCGCATGGACTCTACTCCTTAGAGCTAAAGATAAAACCTTTGAGGTGTTTGTGGCTTTTGTGCAGAAAATCCAGGTGAAGATGGAGTCTAAAGTCGCATGTATTAGATCAGATCATGGAATAGAATTTGACAATGCCAAATTTGATGACTTCTGCAATGAAAATGGCATTACTCACAACTTCTTAGCTCCAAGAACCCCCCCTCCCCCAGCAAAATGGAGTTGTGGAAAGGAAGAATAGAATTGTTGAAGAAATGTCAAGAACAATACTGATTGACAGAGAGATTGCAAAGAACTTCTGGCCTGAAGCTATCAACACTGCATGCTACTTGGTGAATAGGTGCATGATCGGATCTCTCCTGAACAAAACCCCCTATGAGTTGCTGAATGGAAGGAAACCCAAGCTGACTCGCCTAAGAACATTTGGGTGCAAATGCTATGTTCTCAACGATGGAAAGGATCAGCTTGGTAAATTTAATGCCAAGAGTGATGAGGGAATCTTTCTGGGGTATTCTTCTCAAATCAAAGCTTACAAGATATACAATAAGCGGACTCAATGTGTTGAGGAAAGTGTTCATGTTATCTTTGATGAGTCCTATCTTTCATGTGAGAAAAGTGCTAAAGATGATCGAGATGGAGAGCCCTTACTGGTTCCTGGTGAAGTCATTGACATGATAAATGGAAAGGCAGATATGATGAGCCAAGTGAAGGAGCCGAGTGGAGACAATGTTACCTCTTCTTCAATGGAACCAGGTACCTCAATTACAACCACTGAAGCTGAAGAAAGAGTGGTTGATGTAGTACAGGGTACTCCACTAGCAACTGAGAGAAGAACACAAGAGAACTAATTAGATATACCCAGCTCCTCTACAAATTAACCTGAAATGCCTAACTAGAAACACAAATGCTCTCGTCCCCTTGACAACATAATTACTCCTCTAGATTTTGGAGTACAAACCAGGTCAAAAGCCAAAAATTCACTTTCCTTCTCAGCCTTTCTCTCCCAAATAGAACACAAAAATATCAAGGAAGCCCTGAAAGATGCAGATTGGATTACAGCCATGCAAGATGAACATGGAACCACTACAAGGAACAAGGCCAGGCTAGTAGTTCAAGGCTACAATCAGGAGTAAGGGATTGATTATGATGAAACATTTGCTCCGGTTGCTCGCATGGAAGCTATTAGAATCCTAGTCGCTTTTGCATCTCATATGGAATTCACCTTGTTCCAAATGGATGTCAAAAGTGCATTTTTGAATGGACTTCTTAAGGAAGAAGTCTATGTGAAGCAACCTCCAGGGTTTGAATGTCATTAACACCCCGAATATGTGTTTAAACTGGACAAAGCACTGTATGGATTGAAGCAGGCTCCTAGAGCTTGGTATGAAAGGTTGTCATTCCTCTTAGAAAACGGTTTTACAAGAGGAAAAATTGACAACACCTTGTTTCAATAGAAAGGGGGAATGAACCTTCTCATTGTTCAGGTCTATGTTGATGATATCATTTTAGGGGCAACCGCTGATTCTCTTTGTGAAGAATTTGCAAAACTTATGGCAATGTTTGAAATGAGCATAATGGGGGAGCTGAATTTCGTCTTGGGTCTTCAAGTGAAGCAGTTAGCAAAGGGTACACTCATTTGTCAGCAGAAATACATCAAGGAGCTCTTGAAGATGTTTGATATGGAAGCATCAAAAATGATTGACACTCCCATTGCAACGGCTACTCGACTGGACATGGATGAAACTGGATCTCTTATGAATTAAACTATGCATAGAGGTATTATTGGGTCTCTTCTCTATCTCACTATCAGCAAAGACGATGTTGTTTTTAGTGTGGGGCTATGTGCAAGGTTTCAATCAAATCTCAAGGAATCTTACCTGAAGGCTGCAAAAGGAATTTTGAGATACCTTAAGGGAACACAGGACCCGGTCCTGTATTACCCCTCTGGTTAGACTTTTAATTTTATTGGGTATGCTGATGCTGATTACGCAAGTTATCTTGTGGATAAGAAAAGTACTTCTGGAATGGCTCACTTTCTTGGATCATGTCTTATCTCCTGGGTACAAGGAAGAAAAACTCAGTGGCTCTTTCAACAGCTGAAGCAGAATATGTAGCTGCAGCCTTTTGCTGGGCTCAGCTCCTGTGGATTAAACAACAACTGGAGGATTTGGGGTATTTTACGGATTGTGTGCCTCTTATATCTGATAACACCAGTGCACTCAATATGGACACGAATCTAGTTCAATACAAAAGAACCAAACATATTGATGTGAGACATCATTTTTTGAGGGACAATATGGAGAAAAGGCTGATCTGTATGAAGTTCTGCAGTACAGAAGACCAAATTGCAGATATCTTCAGCAAAGCTTTAAGTAGGGAACATTTTGAAAGAAACAGGGAACATTTTGAAGCCCAATTGAGAACCTGATTCCTTATCAATTGGCTATGAAAATCACCTTCAGGTAAAATTAGCTAAAGTGTTTTCTAGCCAAGTCTAACTCACTTCAATACCATTACAGGTAAACACGCATGATGATTTTAGAAGCTATAGATGCATCGCATGGATGATAAAAGAGGATTAAAATTTTCAATGACAGGTCAAGAACCTGGTTCTTGTACCAAAGGTTAGTAGTTCTGTGCATTCTTTAATACACGCCTTGAAAAGGTACAAATATCAATGGCCATGTCATCCAACTCTTCAGAACACTGCCATCACGTCATTTCACTTCAAATCATTTTCCTTTCCCTTTGAAACGTTGCATCTCTCAAAGCATAACCGCTGTTTCAGAACTGGTTCCTATCTCTCTCTTCATAGTTATCCTCTCTCATTAAAAATACTCTCCTTTCTTCACAGACCATAGTCCTCCATTAGAACTTCTCCTAAGACCTTTCTCTCTATCTCTTCAATGGGTGACACAAACTCTGAAATTCCTGCCTCAGTCGTCTCTAACACTGAAAAACCCATTGAGTCCCCTGTCCCCAATGAGTCTTCTATAACCATTCATGTTCTTATCACTGAAATCACTCGTAACCCAGATTTCTCGTCTCCCTCCAGTTCTAACGACTATCTGAGAAACCCCTAAAATATTTGATCCTTCTTCTCTATCTTCTGAGTTTCCCGTTTATCAAGGGAAAAGTGGAGAACAGGGTAAAAGTCCTGAGGTACCAGAGGTTTCCGCCATTGTTGCTTCAAATTCTGTGGTGGACATAGAGCCTATCGAGGAAGAAAATGTCGCGACCATCTTTGTGGTATCTGCTGATAGAGTCTTACATGAGATAATTTCTGGTGCTTCCATGTCTCAGAGGAATCAGACATAGGATATGGGGGGAGAAAGAGCCATGGTAGCTGTTGAAGGCTCAACACTAGAGGAAACTATTGGGCCCTCTCGTGAGGAACCTGACCCCTCTTCGGAGGAAACAGGTCAGGGTTCTCACTCCCAGGCCAGTTCTGCTCCTGCTTTTGTTGTTGATCCCTTGAACATTCAAGTCCCTGAGATGAGTTCTAGTGATGAGGAAGATCAAGACAACATTCCTCTTGATGCATTCATAGCCAAGCGAAGGGTGGTGTCATATCCTGAGTCTTCTACTAAGCGATCTACTACTAGGTTGCAAGCAAAGGTAGCCTATGACTCTTCCCTTCAAAATAGCAGAAAAACCAGTAAGAAAAAAAAGAGGAGACTGGTGAAAGACAATGTAATAGTGTGTGATAAGGTTGTCCCTGTGGAGAGGGTTGAGGAGGAAATAACAGAGGAACCTAGTTCCCTGGTACGAAGGTCCCACAAGAAGAAGCAATCTGCTTCAGTAGACAATGTTACAACCCCCAATTCAAAGTTGAAGGATGTTGTGAGTGAGCCCTCAATTTCTGATGAGGATGTGTTAGTCAAGTCTAAGGGAAAAGCAAAATCAAATGGTATGAAGTCTGGCAAAAGAAAGCTTGAACCTGTTAAGGAACCTGTTTCTACGAAGAAGATGAGAAGTGAAACCAGTTCTGCTTCAAAACTCTTAAGGCACCAAAAAGTTCGTCGTACTTTTGACCCAGCAAATTGGGATATGGCTGGCATGAGACAAGTCCTGGCAATGGTCGAGTTTCAATGGTAGGGGCATCTGTTCCAAATGGATGCACCCAAATTATATGAGGATGAGGTTCAAAGCTTTTATGACAGCCTCTTTCCCATTGATACCGACCATATCTGTGCCTTGGTGAATGTGGTGGACATTGTGTTTGACGTGAGTCTGCTTCGGGATATTCATAAAGTCCGTAATGTTGGTGTGTCTAGTGTGAAAGATGCGTGTGGGTATAATTTCTTGAATGTTGTGGTAAAGGATAATGCGAAACAAAAGGGGGACCATATTCACAAGAAGGCATTACTCCCTGTTTATCAGTTGCTCTTTGAGTTAGTGAACAAAGTTCTGTTGCCTCGTGCTGAGAGGAGGTCCATGACTTCTAAGTCTGACGTGTTTTTAATGGAGAAACTGGATGGCTTTAACCCTGTCAACTTACCTGCTATCATGATCGAACACATTCAAAAAGTAGCAACTTTCAAGGATGACAATCATGGTCTTCCATATGGGTTTCTACTTACGTAAGTGTTTATGTTTTTCAAGGCGCCACTGGGGCAAGGCAAGGTAGGAACCAAGAAGTAGACCTTCTCTCAAACAACTTTGGAAGAGTGTGAGTGCATCGTGAAGAATGGGGGGTTATGCAGTACATCAACAATCTCACAGCTCATTAATGCTCAAAATAGAGCAACTGAGGAGATTCGAAGGTTGAAGGCTAGGAATGATATCCTGGAAGGTCAGCAGGCCCAAGGGGCTCCGGAGTCAAATGAGGAAGTGGTCCGTCTGACAAAAGAAAATGATAATCTTAGGGCACAAGTGGAGAACCTGAAGGCAGAACTGCTCAATGAGCAAAAGTCGGCCAATGCCCGAATAGACCTAGTTCTCCAAACTCTTGCTGCAGCTTCCAAGCCCTCTAATCCTAGTTCCCCCTAAGAAACCCCTTCAGTGACCAGTTTCTGGATTATCTCTATTAGTTTTTATGACTTGGCAGATGTTTTTGTTTCTTTTGTTTTGATGTGGTTGGGATGTATCTGTAGTGCTCCCGTTTTCAACAGCACAATTCTACCTTTGCTTTTTATGCAAAGGCATATGTTTTATATATAATATCTATCCTTTTTAGTTATCCCACTGCTTGTATTCTCTGTTTCTCTTCTCTATCATGTTGTGTGCACATATGTGGTATGAGTTAGCTAGGCTAGACTTTTTTATGTTATTTTCATGCGTGTGTATTTTTAATCAGGCTATAAGGGGTAAGTATAATTGAAACAGGGATCTGATTTAGGGGGAAGCATAAAGTCAGGGGGAACTTGTGAAGTTTTTGTTACTTCATCTGGGTTTTTTTTTCTCTAAATACCTGTTATCAATGTCTAAGTTTGTCATCATCAAAAAGGGGAAAATTCATGGGTTTTCAATGTCTTTGCCTTATGTTTTGATGTTCTAACAAACTTACTGTCAAGAACCAGATAGGGAACCTGACACACTTGGTACACATTCAACCAATTATATTCTAGCATAATAATGCCAAGCTACTTACTCTATTATAAAAAATTATCATTTACCAAGATATCTTGATGAGAATCGAACTAAAAAGTGATAAATAATTTAAGGATTCAATTAAAGATAAGTTATTTTTAACATGAAATTTATTCTTGGACTTGTCAAAATAAAAACTACAAATCAAACTAAAAAGTAAAGACAAATATTTAAATTATTAAAGGAAAAGAGCTACATTACCAATCAATCACGTAAAAAATATGTACCATAAAAATTTAAAAGCTCTCTCTCTCTCTCGCTCTCTCTCTCTCTCTCTATATATATATATATATGTGTGTGTGTGTGTGTGAATTTATATAGTTGATTTGGGTTTTTTTTCAATTTTTTTTTGCTTAAAACCAAAATAAAATTAAACAAAAAACATACATTTTTTTATTCGGTCTTGGTCGATTTTCGGTTTGGTTCTGTTTTTAAATTTTCCGCAAACACCCATGAAGCCATGTTAGGATTAGGGATTTGTTTTCTGTAAAAGGTTTAAATATGAATCCATACTAACCGTTGGATCAAAGTTAGCCCGCTTGATTTGAGCCACGTGGCGAAGCTAAGCTGAGAAGGGCCTAGTGGGTATGGGCTAATTTCTGGGCTAGACTGATAATTTTATACAAAAGTGGGTTACTGAAAGAGCTTGGGCCATTTAATGAGGTCGAAACTCAAGCCAATGAAACCGAATCAGTTGGGCTATATATTTGATAGGTTGCCGAATGGGCTCTCTTTGGGCTAATTCATTTTGAATGGGTCGACCAAATTTAGAAGGCTTTGGACTTAACTCCTTTCTTCTTTCGGAATTTGGCACTGCATGACAGCATAATCTAACAATTGGCATAAAAGAGTCAATATTTTTTGGTTTTGGCACCTAATTCCCAAATTGATTGTTTATCAAAAAAGAATTGCCATCATATAATCAGATTGTTTTTCTTAAAAATAGCAAAAGATCTTTAGCACCCTCTCTCTTGCCAATGGCAATCATCATCTTAAAAATATGTTTTCATTTTCTTTCAATTAATACTCGAAAACATCTCAATATTATATTCACAACAATATTTTTCTTCTTTTTGTATATCAAAATATATACTAAAACTTAATTTTCCTTCTTTGTTTATCTCAGTAGATGCCTTGTTCTGAAATTCTGTGTCTCAACATCGTCCATTATGACACTGAATATATATCACGATGTATATCATGATATCATTATATATCACACATCTGACAATGTATATCATGATATACAATACAAAATACACATGCAAATATACGAAATTTTGACCGAAGAACCACCTGAGATTGGAAGCATGGAGCAGCGACAAAGAACCGACCTCGATCTACTTGCCTCTCATTTCAGCGCACCATCTTTTGCTCTTAGTCATTGTATTATTAGGACTCCTAATCCATTTCAGCTGTGCGGTCTTGAAATCACTTCTCTATACATGGTATCTGACGTCCAGAAAGCAATAAGAATCGTAATAATATTAGATAAAGGTGTTTACTATATTATTTTGGTGGGTCTATTAGCAAAACAGTAGGGGTTCGATATTTCACTATAGTGGAGTATATTTGATTGTTTGCATTTTAATTATAATTGCCATGTTCTCCTCCCTATTTAATGTTCTACTATAAGAATTACATGCCACACTATGTTTGGTCCAGTACATTAAATATTGGTCTTTTATGTATTAACAATTAAATTAGTGAGTTACGTTCTTAGCTTCTGTCTATGATTTTAACCTAATACAATTTGCACGTCACATTTATAAAAGATGCACATGATATGCACGTTAGAGGTTAATAAATTATTTAATAAAATTATTCATACTTTTAGAGGCTAGGAAATATGAATACTTTTTTAATCACTAACGTTCAAATAATGATTTTAAACACAATATCTCAGGAAAATAGATCTCAGCCATGAATTATAGTATGGTCCATAAGTTAATAAAAGACTACTTGAGGCGCTTGTACTTGACTGGATCTTTTTCCCTCTACAACTGGTAATCGTTTATCTGCTTGCTCTACTAGGCTTAACTAGAAAAGATAGTACTACATATCATTAATTAATTTAATTAGAACCAGGTCCCCCGAAGAAGACATCATGCCCAAAAACCTTATAGGTAATTGGTTCAACAACAATCTGGTATAGCGCGTGGGCATCTTCAAAATTTGATACTAGAACCGCAGGTGCTGCCAGCAGAATCCAAAATTGAAATTTTGCTGCAATATGCCAGCTGAATACATATGCAATACCTTAAACTTGACCAACTTTTTCATTTAGGCACCTCTACTAATGTTTGTACCAAGTGAAAATGTGTTAGAACCCTATGAAAGTCACAAACATTTCCTAGGTTGCTCAATTGAAGAAAAGGAAAACTCTAATATTTGAGTAGAAACATTTCGAAGTGTACAGAATCTATATCCACCCAAAGCTGAGAAACAAAGCCCAAGTTGAGAGAAGACTAAGCGCAAATCACTTGCTTTGCAATCATATTCGACCTTTTCACCATCAAAAGTGTCCACTCCACTTTTCATTAGCTCCTCTGATTCTCCACCCTTCTTAGAAGGAACCCTATCATTATCTGGAATTTCAAGAAATTCATACACATTTGTAAAGGTGAGTATTTGAAGTTGATCGAGCTAAGGTTTTGGGCCTTGAATTAGGAACTCTGTCTCAGGATTGTTAATAATTTGCGACGGGGATGGAGTAGAGAACATATTGTCCGAGAGGGAAAAGGTTAATAGAGGCTATGTAACGCACCGACTGGGTTAATTACGAGTCAGACAAAAAGTTTGGTTGGACCGTTTTGGCAGGTTGATATGCACATAAAATTTTATTTCAATTGACTCAATTCGGCGACCATAGTTGGTGAGCATTTGTCTTTGTTCTGAGCAATGGCCAAATTTTTTGGATCTCTCTCTACTGTTACAAGCCCGATTTGTTTCATTTATATTTTTACATATCTAGATTACAGTATGTTGATCAAACATTAATGAGCAGGTTTTTGCAGTCCGAGTGAGTGAAAACGGGCTCCTCCTAGTGTTGATACAATAATTCATACAAGAGTTGACAGATGGGTAGGAGGAAGTAAATCACAAGAACGAAGCAAAGCAAAAGAACCCTAATTTATTGAGAGACCATATGATGCTGCCTTTTGTTTCGATATATTTGCCTAACCTGTGTTTGGTTGATTTCCATACAAGAGCTTATGTATTCTCCTTTGATTTTCATAAGCAAATTAATACAAAAATTAGCAAATTCATATAATGTAAAGGTCAAAGTGAAAAAAGACAAGCTCGTGATTTCAAAAATTCCCTTAATACTTTGCAACATACTTGAAAAGAATATTGAATATATTTCGGGTATGAATAACTCTTAAAGAAGAAATGGATTACCAAGTTTTCATCTAAAGAAAATACACATAATTTGCTCGAAAGAAAGCAATGATAGCTTGCTTCTTACATAGCTTATGTCTTTGATTTTAACCTGATACAGTTTG